TTCCGCGTTCCTTGTACTTTTGCGCTTGGTTCCTCCCAGGCGAACGTGTCAAGAGAGGCGTTTTGCCACCATTTGCGTATCCGGTGCCTTCTGTGGCTCTTCGGCGCGCCAGTGGCACTCTGTCCAGACCCTTGATGCACCTTGGGACTTCGTCTCCACCTGCACTAGAGGAGCTTATTCGTGTTCTGCTGAGTTGTACTTCGACATCGCCGCTTGCCTAAACGACAGTTTCCCCAAGAATGCGCCAATTTGTTCCATGGGACTGATAAAATCTCGACTCGACCGTGACGTCAGGTGCAAGCCTCGTTAAATCTGGCGCAGAGTTTGGTCGAGATAAGGAAGTGTGTGGTGTGTGGGGGGGAGGAGTGCGGAGTAGGGGAGGAGGCCGATGCAAACTAGTAGGCGTCGGGCGGTGGGGCGGGCGAGGGGGCAGTTGAGGAATGCAGCATGCGTGTGTCAGGCCGCGATTCGGTCTCAAATGCGAGGGGGCGATGCGAAGGCTGGAAGAGGTGCATGAGGAGGGCTGCGCAGCTGGCCGGACCGCTCCCCCCTCTCCCTCTCCCTGACTCTCTCCCACCACCTTGTGCCTGTGGGACTGTGCATGCGTGTCGTATATCATTTAATGCATATGCCTTCAGGTATGGCTAATGTAAACCTACGTCAAATAACTGACTCATCCTCCCGGAGACAGTGAAAGTCGGTGTCTGTGCCTGATCTTCCTGTCCGCAACACTGTGCAGAAGGACCAGGTAATGACGTCAGAGGACACGGTTTTGTGTGAAGTAAACATCCCGTGAGTATTTACAGACCTGTGCCTTGTCCACATGCCTTCCTCACACACCCCCAAGAGGCCCGGCCCCTGTGTGTCTGTGGCTCCCCAGGGAAAGGTTCTGGGAAACCGCGAGGCTGAAATGGCCCTTGATGTACCCCTGTGAGGATGCTATTGCTGGCCGTCGGTGTGTTTGGTTGTGGGTGTGCCTCGGGGGACAAAAGTTTCCTTGGCACGGCCCGGCTCTCTGGCTGGCGGGATGGTGGTTGGTTGGTGGAGGTGGGGATAGGTGGAGGGAGCTTTTCCTCCGCCCACACCACCTCCAGGGGATGCCCTCCGTTGGGTACACAGGTGACATGCCAGCTGCTGTTTGTCCTGCCCCCACCCCCGTGCCCCTCAGGCAAGAGGAACCTATTTTCATTTCATTCTGTACGAAATTATCCGTGTACATATGTATGTATATATATATTTATATGTATGTATATACGTGTGCAGGGCGTGTGCAGGAAAGGGAGTGAGAGGAAGAGCGAGTGGGAGGGAGAAAGAAAGAATAGGAGAGAGGGAGAGGAGGGAGGGAAATGGGCAGGGAAATAATTAGACAGATAGACAGACAGACAGACTGACAGACAGAGATAGACAGTAATGTTAAGGATAGAATTTAAGAAATGGAATGGAATGAATGCAGTTGTAGAAGATGCAAGGACAGAGGAACAGAGTGGAAAGAAACAAGAAATTTGCATTTCATCACGTTTCTATTTAACACAGACTGTTAGATTTTTTTTTTTTACAGTATTGCGTTATGCGCCATCAGAGGAAAGATGGCGTACGATAAGGGATTACCGCCTAGGATTACGTTGATGTTGTTTTGAATTGCAGTAACAGTCGCGTATCTTTTCTTTTTGGTTTGATTATATGATTTAGGATCAGCGTTAACCGTCAAGTCTTAAGAAAAAATGGCGACCAACATTTTGTTTTTTTAACCATTATTTGCTAAAGGCGGCTTGAAATTAGTGCAAAGCGGAGGCGTGAGAGCTAACTGCCTGTTGTCGGTAGGGCGGAGGGCGAACGAGGACAGGGGCGGGTCCTTGATGTGCATTGCATAAGTTTGTACTCAGGACGGAGGATCTTACGTCACCCGTTGCGTAAGGAAGGAGAAAGAAGCCTCTGATTTTGTGGCGAAGGAGGGATCTTTTTTGCAGGCGGCGCATCGTCAGTCAGTCCTTTATCATGGCCGGGGATTTTGTGCGTCAGCGGGGTCCTGGAGTCGTGTCCGTAATGCTGTGGGTCTTTCTTTCTGTGGTGGCTTGGGTTTCAGAGCGGTCGTCCTATTTCTCCTACTGTTCCACCTCCTTTCCTTTCCTTCTTCCCCTTCTTCGTTTTTCCTCCTCTTTTCTCCTCCGTCTTATCCCACCTCATTCTCCTCCTCTTCCTTTCTCCTCCGTCTTCCCCCACCTCATTCTCCTCCTCCTCCTTTTCCTCCGCCCTCCTCACCTCCCTCCCCCTCCCCCTCCCCTGTCAGAATCGGTACGACCCTGGATCGGCCTCCGTTCCCATCGACGGCCCCGGACCCACTATCGACAACGGCCAACACCGGACGACTTGTTTGGACTCTCGGCCGCCACAGACGGTCCGGGACTCGCCTTCACCTCCGCCATGTCTCGTTCATTATGAGAATTCCATGTCGTGGGCGGTCATGAACCAGGATTTTTTTTCCATGAATCGATGTCGGGAATCGCATGCCGGTCGTGGTTTAGGGTTGAACTCGTCGCTCGCGTCGTTCCAAGGCCCTTTTTAGGACCGAAATCGTTTTGTATTTCGCTGCAGTGCATTGCCCTAGTTCTGTAATGCGGATGGAATTAATCAGTGGCACTGCAGGATCAAACGCGCGTATATGGCAGCAAAATGTGATGCCGAGTAATTTTAATAACGCGATATACCTAATGAAATGTATAGTTGGGTTGATTTCACAGGGGCGGCGCTGTTATAGGTAAAGTTGCAGTATCAGTATGGACGTGTGGAAATGCACCATTAGTTTAGTTGCTTACAGACAGAGACAGAAGTACAATAGATATTTTATAGCAGTTAGCAGTGACAAAAAACATGGTTCGGTCAGCATTTCACAACCATATTTCGAGATGTTGCATACACCAGCTCTCTGTGTTAAGAGTCAGTGCGTTGTTAATATCCGAGAGTTCTATCGTTTGGATCAGATAACGATAACAAGGCGAGTCGATTTGATGGGTTTTCCAAATTTTAGAAAAAGAAATAGAATGAATAAAGATAAAGAGGAAAAAGATACAGATGGACAAAGGAGGAGGTCGATGCATATGCCATGAATGGTTTTGTCACACGGACCACCTTGCAATGAGAGATAGTACTGGGAAAGTTGCTGCGGTCGTTGTTCACGGACAGGGACTAATAGTGATAGTCGTAGTGCCGGGGTGGGGGTTGTTACTAATCGTTGGTGGAAGTTGTTTTCGTGTGAGTTGCTCGGTGGTGGTTATGATGATGATAATGATAAATTGCCTATCTTATTACTATAAAGACTGCTGAGTGGCGCCTATGAATGCCGTACTCAGCTCGGCATAAGACACGAGTTGCAGGACACTCAAAGAAGCAGGTCAAGTCAGGTCACGCCCGAGCTGAAACAGGCCCGAGGACAGGTCAACAGGTGGCAACCTACCCGACGAGGAATTTCACCCTGATAGACGACATGGTTCTTTGAAAGTAGTCAGTTATTGTTATCCCATTTGATATAGATTTAGAATTTAGAGCTGTAGATTATTTTTGTGTATGCATTTGCAGCGTTGTTTTATTTAATTTAGTGGTTTCCTTGTATCCTCATAGATGTCAGGGATTTATTTTTTAGGTGATTTGCGATGTTGTTGCCAACTTTTATTGTCAGTTGTGTGCAGAGTGATTAGAGCAGGATCAACAAAATCCCAAACACCCAAAAACTACAACAACAGTAAATCTATAACTTTTCATTTGCATCTAAAAAAATACAGTGGAAGATTAAAGTATTTGTCAGAGGAATTAATTTGTTGTACCCTTTTATATTGTTGAATAATTGTTGTTTTCATTGGTAATACTTGATACACAGATTGGCAAGAGATAAAAAAGTAGGCCGTATTTTTTTATCATTGTTTTTCATAATTCTGTGGAGGGGAAAGAGAGTTCATTCATGTAGTATTTGAAACAATTTGATATGAAACTTTGGGGTTCAAGCAAAGACAGGCAATTTTGTTTGTTGATTGTGTAGGCTACAAAGAAAAGCTGTGGGAGTTGACCGAAAAAGAGCTTGGGCGGGGGGGGGGGGTATGAATGGGCTGAAGGGTGGATTCCGTCAAATGAAAAGGAATTGTCATTAGAGAGAGATGTATTGATTGATGGATTGAGTATGTTAGTGAGTGCTTGAGTGAATATGACAGAGGGTATGAGAAAGTGTGTGTGTGTGTGTGTGTGTGTGTGTGTGTGTGTGTGTGGTGTGTGTGCGTGTGTGTGTGTGCGTGTGCGTGTGCGTGTGCGTGTGTGTGTGTGTGTGTGTGTGTGTGTGTGTGTGTGTGTGTGTGTGTGTGTGTGTGTGTGTGTGTGTGTGTGTGTGTGTGTGTGTGTGTGAGTGTGAGTGTGTGAGTGTGAGTGTGAGAGAGAGAGAGAGAGAGAGAGAGAGAGAGAGAGAGAGAGAGAGAGAGAGAGAGAGAGAGAGAGAGAGAGAGAGAGAGAGAGAGAGAGAGAGAGAGAGAGAGAGAAGAGAGATGAGTGGGTGAATGAGTGTGTGTGAATGAGTCATTGGAATTTTTTGCCGCTTTTTATGATTTTGTAGGTCGAGTCCCAAAGTTTTTTTCGGGTGTTTGGGAAGACTTTGCTCGCCCCTGCTTTTGGTGTTGTTTGTGTGCGTTGTTTTTTCCCTATTTAGAACTAATAGATATTTATATCCGGTTACTAACGCTTGTTATAAATTTTTAAAAGAAGATTTTGTGAAATATTTATGCAATGAGTAAGTGTCTTTTTGAGAGAGATTTTTGTTGATTTTTTAGCCATACGACATTTTTTATAACTATATAACTATTCATTTAAATGATCCTTGAAGCTAATGATCATGTCTCAAGGGTGATTGGGCAGCGAACGATCGATCGAGCGAGCGAGCGAGCGTGCGAATGCGTTGCTTGTAGTGTGTTAGTGTTGTTGCTCCACGTGGCACTGGTCTGAGGGAAAGTTGTTATGATCCACAG